AAGGCTCCACTCCCGTGACACAGAGCACTCTGTGCGGCACTTGAGGAGAGCATATGCCTTCAATAAGCACATGTCAAGCTTGGACTGTCTTGCAGCAGAGCGCCCGGCTACATCGCATGGCGTCCCATCCCCCCCATCATGTCGGCTCACGGCTGCGGTCGGGTCCCCGGGCCACACAGTGCAGAGTCTCACGATCACAAGCTGATGTCGTCATTAAGCAGCACCAGCTGCACAAACTAAGTTCACAAGTCAACACGGCTCTGAGACTGTCAAGAGATGGTGTTACTTCGCTGGGGCCGTATCAGCTCCTGACATGAGAGGCCTGCACGCAATTTTTCCGGTTAGCGTGATGGCCGCAACTGTGAAGACAGAAGGAATCAGTACGTCGGGCAAAGTGTAGGCCTTCGGTGCATTGTGCACGGCAAGCTGCGTAACAAATGAAACTTATGCACGTTGTTCTCATCTCAAGCAGGTCCGATGGGAAAGCCGCTGCAGAGGCGTCGCTTCAACAGCCTGGACAGGGGGGCTGAATGCTGGAGCACTCTTTGTGTGACCGCCGAACGCAACAGCCTCGACCTGTCTCGCATGTCTCCAATCCCGCACATGGCTTCACCACCTCGAGCCGTGGAACATAGTGTGACGATCATATTCTGCCGCCATTGTGAGGAGATTGTATGGGACGGTACAGCATGATATGGAAACCTCACAAATACCTCGGTTATTGTGCCCTCGTCTGATCATGGGGTGTCCAGAGAAAGAAACTTACGTCTCTATTTGGCATGACTCTGAGGCGGAGGCGGCGAGATTGGTGGCAGCGAAGCTAGAATGCGCTTGGCGTGAGTCTCGCCAAAGGTCTGACCAAGGAAAAGCCGCCAGTCTGTTACACAATTTGGGGAACATTGCGATGCCTGGTTCGGCCGATACCCAAGCTTGGCAGATTGGTGTAGACCTCAAGTCTTCAACGGAGGGCAATTGGCTGCTGGCACATGTGTCGCTCAAGCTTGAGAAACAGTGGCGTCAGGAATTTGTCATCAGGATCTGACACGAAGAACTCTGAGGCCACAGGCATGGCAAGCTTGTGGTGCGCGAAGCGCCTTCGGATCGGTGACACCATGGAGATGATACCACGAGAACGCCGCACAAATGCCACAGCTTCTTACAAGATCTGTCATGCCTTGAGCATGACCAAAGGCTTGGTGTTCATATTGCGTCCTGCTTGTCCTGCTGGCACAAGGTTCGACATGCCTAGGCCTAGACCAAAGCAAACAGTCTGCACACAAAGAACGAATGCACCAAACATATGCAAAAACACAGCTACCTGACAGAAGCCGTGTGAGTTCTAGTCCAAAAGCTTCCGAGAAGGGAAGAAACTGAATGAGATCGGCATGTGACTTGGTGGGGTGGCTGGTGGGGCGGAAGGCCGAGGACACGGCACCGGTCAGGCAGCCCGACTGCAAATGTTCGCCGGGCATCCCGACTTATGCGATCTCAGCGTGTTGTGCACACTAGTACACTATGTACATAGCTGCAAGCTGCTTGCCAGCTACGCTCGTGTTTCCCGCTTAATTACACACCGGGTATCTGTCCTGAAAGCTATAGGCAATCGCTGAGCCATCACATCAGAGCCAGTCCTGTACTGCGTAGATTTCATTGCCGCGAAGTCATGACCAATTTGACGACACATTTGGTACCTTCGAGACGGTGCTGGCAACACGTCACCACAACTAGCAAATCGCTGGGCACGTTGGTGGATTGCTCATGCCCTCTCCAGGATGCCCTCGAACGTAGCCATGTGCAGGATATTTGGAATACCTGTCATCTCAACTCCTTGCAATCGAGCTTGCAACTGCATGGTTCATCGAGAACCCGTCCGGGGAAGCCTGTTGCCATATGTGAAACTGGAGAGAGGCCTGCAGATTCATCGTTCGGATGAGCACTTGCATGCACTGCTGTGCCAGACGTCAGGCACGCCTGTGATTTTGACCTTCTCCTCCAATGAGACCGCCGAAGCCACCAGCCATGCTTCGTTTTGATAGCGAGCGTTGTTACATGCACATATGATCTAAAGGTATTTGATTAAGGTTCCAGGTGTGGTCCCTGAGCTGCATTTCAAGCATCATTGGACCCAGTAAAAGCTGGCAAAGAAGAGCCACAGTTGCCACAATTTCCTTGTCGTGCTCCAAGAACGCAAGACCAAGCACCGCAAGCCCACGGACTGTCCAGCAACGCCTTGAACTCGTGCAGCGATGCGGCATGTCTCTCTGGCTCAACCTTTCTGCGTCAGAAGATACGTGGTGCAGGATTCGCTAGCCTGTGGTGGCAGGGTGCAATCACGCGAAAGTCCCGAACCATCGCTACTGTGCGACAAGCAACTGGATGGGTGAGATACTCACCGTCATCAAATGCATGTCAGCATGTCATAGCATGTCTACACTTGAGTTGCCCCGTTCTGCTCTTGGAGCAAGTGGAGATTGGAGACATATAATTACTCCCACTTGCAGCATCCCTGATTTCGGGAGCGTGCAATGAAGAATGCAGTCCGCGGCTTTGGACAGACTTTGACAAACTTGAAGATGCGACAACGTCAAACATGGTGCGGAATTGACATGTACAAGGGATGCTTTGTGCCATGTGGTCGTTGCTACCAGTAGGGAACCCTAAATCCTAAACCACCCCTCTTTCCCAGGCTTGTTGGGAGCTTCCCTCCAGAATCCTGAACTAAACCTTAAACTCTCGCAAACAAGACTGCGCACTCGTTGCTCACACCGTTCCAGCGCTTGCAGCCTAGGAGCTGCGTCGCCCGGGGAATCCACTGACAAAGCAATGGAGGCTGCAAGGCCACACCAGTTCACATCATGCAAGCTAATCTAACGTAATATGACCTTGGTGTGCCGATAAGTGCGAAGTTGTTGTTTGTGTCCGCGGTCCCGCCACTCACACTCCGCCCTCCTCAATGCATCACAGCCGCTGCAGCTGCAGCCCCACTGGTCCATGCCTACACACTCCATGCATCTGCTTGGGCCTCGAGTGCGCGGTGCTGAGTGTAGGACGTTGCACAGCGATCCCTCATTGCATCTCATTGCGGGTATTGCCAGCTCTTGCTGGGAAGCTTGACTTGCCAGCATCGCACCATGCCGCCCGCCGAGCCCCTGTCTTCAGTCCTTAGCCCCGCTGTCCGCGAAGACTGGCACTGCTCAGAAGTCAAGAGAACTCATGCCCGTGTGCTTGGGCACATGCACAGTGCGCGCGCTTCCAGAACGTGGCTGGCGCGAGCAATGTCAGGCTTCGTGGACAGTGGGGCTGAGGGCTGAGCATGGGGACGCACCGCGGGCGGCATGGTGCGATGCTGGCAAGTCAAGCTTCCCAACAAGAGCTGGCAATACAAACCAGCAATATCCCGCAATGAGGGATCGCTATGCATTGTCCTACACTCAGTACCGCACACTTGAGGCCCGAGCAGATGCATGAGGGTTCAAACCTATGTAGGATCAATGGGGCAGAGGGGCGGTGGCACGGGCTTTGTCCAGGACCAGCGGGGCTTGCAATGGCTCAAGATGGAGTCAAGCAGGGTGGAGGTTTGATCAAGGGCAAGCCGGCTGTCGAACGAGTCTGGCTTCACCCACACCGCTTGCCTGGAATGAACAGGCAAGGAGGAGCGACGCTGAGCCTTAGTGCTGCTGCTGGAAGCCAAAAGCACCAAGGATCAGCATGCCCTGAGCATCACTGCATCTCCTGCAGCCACCCAGGCTGCTCTGTAAGAGCTGCCAAGCTAGCCCGACAGCCGGCCATCCCAGTTCCGAAGTCCAATCAAAGTAGATACACGCGTTCCTGGATCTCGTGGCCTTGCATATCCGTTGCTGCAGCAAGGCCGTGAACGCTTTTGATGTGACCTAACTGAACAACAGCCGTGGACAAAACCTTGGCGAAAATACTCAAGCTCACAGTTTATTGCGCTCACTCCTCGCTGAGCACGAGAGGTGGCTGCCCGCCACCAAGCAAATCTAGATAAATGGTCTGAGACCCACAGAGATTCACAATCTTCGTGCTACTTCTACACCGAAAACGACTACGCCTGCACAATTCAAACTACACCAGGAAGGTTTTTGGTTGGGCTATATTGCGCTTTTTCAGCGTTTCGGTTCCTTACGGCAGGCCGTACAAGGCAATCAGGAGAACCATGCTGACCACGAACAGCTGCTGAATTCGAGGCCAAGGTTTGTCCGAACCCGCAGGGCACTTACTTGCTTCCGCAGGCCGGCGCTCACGTACGTTGTGTTGGAGTGCCTGTCTGCATCTGGCGATGCACCGATCGCAGTCCTGCAGTCTCTGATCGCAGCGCACACGGTTCCTAGCCCCTACCATGTAGTCAAAGTATTCTGCGCTTGGGGAAAGCGGACAGGAGCAGTCCTAACCTTAACTAGGAACGTGTCAGTGACACTACAAACGCACGCTTCACCAAACCAGGAGCACGAAAAGGAGCACAGCAATCGCTGCGACAAATGTAACCGAACCCATGCGGACACATGTAATATTTCTCACAATCCACACAAAGTGAAGGAGCACGATGATCAGCAACATAATGACAACAGGCATCGCTCACGATCTCGATAACAGAAGCTCAAAAAAACATCTGCCGAAGCCTCTGCTCCGAGCAGCCACAATTTCCAAGTGACCAGGACAGCCCACTTTGGGAGTGAGATACGCAGCCGATCGCATTCGCCGAACAATGCCGAACATGTTGCTGCGCCCTAAGTGGCTTGTCCATCGGCTGCGAAAGAAGTCGTAGTTTGCTCGGCGATCTCAAAATAAAACCTTCTCTCTCTGTCTCTCTGCTTCTTTCGCCGGGCTTGGAGGGCGGTCGGCGCGCTCCCCTCTCTCCCGTGCTTGCTTGCTTGCTTGGGGCATGAGGGCGCATCCTCTGGCCAGAGGCCTACCCCTGCGCTTTCCGCAGCAGTTCGGGTGGTGAGTGTGTTGCCCTGAATGTGCCTGTCTCCTGCAATACCACTGTACCCATAATCCAACTACACCAGCAGCAGGCACTACTCAGGTCATCCACGACTTACGGAACAAGTCTGGCAGTCCGGTCACCGTCCCGCATCACAACCAAGCATACGGCCCAAACTGTGACCTTCTACGGGATGACGGAACCCGGGATCGTAGCCCGTCCAGACTCCATGTTTGGGAACTGCAGCCCCGCCCCACCGGATCCTGAACAGAACCTCGTGCAGCACTGCCGTACCTGCCTGCCCCCTTCCCTGAACTTTGCAGCAGCACCGGCCCCCGACTGTGACTCTCCCCCCCTCCCCCTCTCTCTCTCTGTCTTTATTTCTGCCGGGCTTAGGGGTCGCAACGCGACCCGCAGGCGCTTGGCCCGCCCGACCACCAATCTGATTATTTCTCTCTTGCTTGCACTCGGCCAGAGGGCCGTGGCCCTCGCACGCGTGCGCGCACCGGTCTTTCGGTCTTCAGTGACACCCTCAGCTCTCCGATCGAGGCCCCGTTTTGAACCCCTAGGGGCTGCACGCAACCCCTTGGCCCGAAGGCCTACCCCCTCGCGGCGCGCAACGTCCAAGGTCAGTTCGGCCCCTTCCGGGGATGGTGAGGACGAGCGTGGGTGCCCTTTCCCTGCTTTTACCAGACCGCTAGACCTCAACACACAACCATTCAGCAGGGCTTCTGGGCGCTCCGTCGTTGTTCTCACCCCCAAGGGAATTTTTGGGCTTGTTGCCACGTGCACTGCTCCTCGGCGGGCTCCACCCCCCGACGAGCGCACAACTGCAGTCTCCTCTGCGTTCTGCACAAACCCACCTGGCCTGCCTCCCCACCTGATGTCGTCGAACAGAACCTTGCGCAACTGCACTGCCTGTACCTGCCCACCCCTCCCTGAACCTGGCTGTCCCCTCGTCCCCCTTTCCAAGTAGTGGCAAGACAACGTAACATGCAGAACACATACAGCTTCAAACCAGGTTCACTCGCTACTCGGGGCCTGGGCCTAGTCATCTTGGTCCAGGGAGCTGGGGTTAGTAAAGCTACGCCTGCGCTCACCCCACTCAGGTGTGGGTCTGTCAGAGGGGCTTGCGGCGGATCGGCTAATCTCCCTCGAAGTACTGGCCGCCGCGACCCCCTCGTGCTCGACATTGTTGGCGTGGCCGAAGGAGTCCGGGTGGGTCATGTGGAGCACGCCCAGGTCGTTCTCCCCCACCAACTCCACCTCCTCCCCCCAGTGTTGCACTGTCCAGGTGACGAGCTCTTGCAGGGCCAGCTCCACTTCGCATTGCACGTCCCCGACTAGGAAAGGAGCCAGCCTTCGGAGCCTCGCTTTGGCTGCGTAGACCAGCCGTGGGTCTGGCGGGTCGGCTCCCCTCCGCGCCTCTGCCTCTCTTCTTCCCCGGGGCATGAGGGGAGTTCGAACCCCCTCGGCCTTAAAGGCCCCCCCGATGTTTATGGAGGCTTGTGGAGGGGTGCGAAAGTCTGTGAAGGTTCTGCCTCTCTCTCTCTCTCTCTTTCTCTTCTCTTTTCCTTCATGGCCTCAGGGTCAGCACGTGTAAGGTGCTTCATTTCGCCCGAGGAGCTATGAGCGAATGATTGTTTAGGGATTTCGAAGTCCTCTGCAAAGATACGACATAATAACTAATTGATTAATCAGCCGGTTGGTGTCTTTCGACAAGTGAACAGAAAAGGCTATTCTTCTTGGGCAGCCCCATTTCACCCGCATACCGGCCTCATCGGTGCGCCCTCCATGCCCCTTCAGCTACCATGTATTAATTACCATGTAGCTAAACAGCTTGAGTAGGAGACCATACGTACCACAAGTCTGTTAAACCTCAACTCCTCTGTAGAGGTTCTGTCGCGAAGCGGTAGTAGAGCGTCGATGTCAATTGAACGACCGTGGTTAGATCACAATTCCCAGGCCCGACCCCGTCAGTAGGCGGGTGCCCGATCAAAAGAACTTAACGAGGATGAGGCTCCGCATGTCCTATCCAGCTACCGCAGATGATGCATGTCATGCATATCGGGTACCCTGTGCTGTTTTTTGCATAGGATGCTCGCGGCGGCGTGTTCGCTGCTGTGGCGAGGGGTTTTGCGCGGTGTATATATTTGTCGCCGACATCCTTTTTTTTGGAGAGGATGCGCTCGCCGCGCGCCCCGTGGCCAGGATTCAATGCAAACAATACGACGACGTGGACCCCTCTTTGCTCTGACAACTTTTTATCCCAGCAGACTTGGGGGAAACGACTCTGGGTGTTTTCTGGATCTTGCAATCTACGAGGGGAAGCATAAGTCGCCCGCACCCGAAACGCGCAAGTACGCGGCCCTGGTCGTCGTCGTCCTCCTCCGTGGGCCGCGCAGATGCTGGAAAAACACAGACGGGATCTAGTTGAGACTTGTGTTTTGCAAGCCCGTTTGAGGATCTCCGCCAACATAGTAGTGTTAATGATCCCAATACTACTGCTAGAAGTAATAGACGAAATAGTAGCAATGGTACTCATAGGAACAAAAAATCTTAGCAGTGCTAGTAATACTGTAGTAGTAGTCGGAATGATCGTAAAAACAAAAAGGCTAGAAATAGCAAGAGTTGCAACAGTAGTGATACAACTACTAGTATTTCTAGTTGCAGGGAGTAATAAGGGTGAACATTGATACGGCAGGAAGCAGTGGAGACCAACTTTTTCTTGACACTGTTTGTTTGACCCTCAGGGACTTGTTTTTGGATCTGTTTGTTTTTTCATCCGCATTTCTACCAGGCGAGGGCGAGTGACCAACTTTCTCATCTCTCCCTCATTGGGCGATGGGCTTGATCACAAATCAATGTCACTACTTGATCTTTCACCACAAATGGTCACGCTATATTTTGAAGCTGAGCAAAAGACTGCACTTGAAGCAGAGGGCTCTGAGCACAACATACATACTGCAAAGAGCAAGAGCTAAACCAGAAAAGCAAGAAAGCAAAGGGAAAGCAAACGCAAAATGCGAGGAACGCTGAAGGGTCAAAGCAAAGTAACAGAGGGCTAGTGGCTAAAAGCGAAAAAGCAAGACTTGCACAGGGAGAGGCAATCAAGAGTGGGCCGGCGAAGGGCCACACCTTAAAATAACAAACCTGGCCCTGTAACTGCCTCTTGGCTCCAGGTGTTGCCCAGAATGTCGAAGTCCACGGTGCCACCAAAATCGCGAGGAAGCTGGTCTGCCTGAACAGTTCACTTCCTGTGCGACCCCCGTGGAGCTGCACATGGTCACAGTTGCTCTAGATGAACCAAGTGCCAAGTGGCATCAATGTGCTCAAGCAGCACTGCTTGAAAGTTTCTTCCAAGAACCTGGATCTTCGATGCCGTCACGGGGTCCAGCCAGGTCTTGATCAGTCGGTAGAGCCTGTAAGAACCAAGGAAGGAGTGCGAAGGCTGATGAAGTGTTGCTCACGCTCACGAATCTGTTGCCGGGCAGCGCAACGAATACTGGAGGAGCGTTGATTACAAACAGAACTGCCAACGATTCCGGATAGTAGCCTCAGCAGGGCAATGTCATATTTGGGCATCCAGTGGCCCGGGTATGGCTACGAAAAAAGCGTGTCAGTGAAGATGCCAGCTAAGGGACGAGAGCTTACAACAAGAAAATCCTTGAAAGCAGCCACGGCCAGTGGGTGTGGACGAAGCGGCATTCCATCAGCATTCGTAATCACGACCTTGCTACGGAGCCCAACTCTGGCAGCTTGTACACACACGCACACACTGACGGCCTTGCAGGATGCCTAGTGTCTGAGGCTTCGGCCTGCTTTGTGATTGGGCGCCCATGCCTCCTGGATGCCTCTTCCATGCGGGCTGCCTCTGGCACAGGCATCACAGGCACTGCGGTTGCTGCCACTGGGCCATAAGGTATTCGCCTGTAACTCGTGCATGCGGACCAAGCTGGCCAAGACCTTCTCGCTTCCGCCAATCTCAGCGGCAAGCAGCAAAGCAGCGAAGGCCCAAGGCCGAGGCTACGCAGCATGCTTAGTCTTCAGCTTCGTGACTTAGCTTGAGGCTTTCTTTGCGCCCAGCGGCGAGCTGGAGCATTCCTGCGAAGCGCCATCCTGCGAGTCCACCGTTCTGGATCTGGACGGGCTGGCCCTTCTTGTCGAAGCCGAAGGCTAGGGTCTGGCCATGAAAGAGGAGAGCGCCTTCCTTCAGCGTAGGCTCCACCAGCCTGACACTTTCGGAAGATCACAAATGGCTCATGAGCAGGTGCTGTTCGGAGTTTCGCACTTCGATGTCTTGCAATTTGGGACCTGAGCTGCGGGAACATCTCCACACCTTGCCGGCCAAGACGACCGTCCTGCAGCGCCAAGAGATTCGAACAGGTCTCTAGGGCGTGGCGCGGCGCGATTCAGCGGAACCTGTGCAGCTTCCGAAGCCGCCTCTGGCCCAAAAGGCCCCAAAGCATTGCCACGAACCCGATCTACATGATGATCTTTTCGCCATTTGAGCATGGCCTCGCCAGATGCTCTGCTCCGAATCTTCATAATTTTCCCCGTGTCAGCCAGTTTTTTTTGCTCTCAACCGCCTGAAACTGGTCCACGGCTGCATCCACTTGCCATTTCCTTGCAACCAGAAACCGCAGAAGCTCTTTGTCTTCTGTGGATGATGCAGAAGGCCTCACTTCCGCACGCTCATGGAACTGGCTGTCAACTTGCATTTCAGTGTGCAGAAGAAGTGATCTGAGGGAGCTGAATGCTAACAAGATTCTGAACTTGCCGTCGCATGTCGGCTAGAGCCCGTGCTTGGAGTTCGTTGAGAGCTGCTGGGTCTTGTGCTGGCGAGCTCTCCTTCGAACTCCGACTCGAACGCTCAATCGCGTGGGCGCACACCCTTTCGGCGGCGTCTCTCAGCTCCTGGAAGCGCGGCACCAGGCCCGGCTCCTGCGCCGATGCTTCGAGCTCTTAACAGAGGACTCGTCACATCCCAGCGACCGACGCAAGCTCTCTGAGATCGGAGCATGGCCGCACCAGCCGAGCAGTCCACTGGGGCAGCACTCCATTGAAAATCGTTCTACGGCACAGCTAATTAAATTTGACCAGAATATGACAAGAAGTGGGTATTTCGCAGTGCGCAATGCCTAAACCCAGCCGGCAATCCTCAAAGGCACAAAAGTTTAAAAACACCTATAGTGAAACCACCGTACGCTGAGCACAGCCAAGTCCAACAAACACATGTTCACCAGCCAAACTGCATGTCTCAACCCAATCGGCTCAATGGTCACCACAGATGCACACACGGACATGAACTAACTCTAAGACTAACTAACACGCACACGCACACGCACACCCACACGCACACCCACACGCACACGCACACGCACGCACACGCACACACGCCCACACACACGCCCATACACACGCCCACACACACGCCCACACACACATGCCCACACACACACGCCCACACACACACGCCCACACACACGCCCACACACACGCCCACACGCACGCCCACACACACGCCCACACACACGCCCACACACACGCCCACACACACGCCCACGCACACACGCCCACGCACACGCCCACGCCCACGCCCACGCCCACGCCCACGCACACGCCCACGCACACCCACACACACCCCCACACACACACCCACACACACACACGCCCGGAATAGATTGGGCTGCCGCAATGCTTGACTGGCCCAAGCGCGGGCCAAGGGAATTGTCGTCGTCAATCGCCTCGTTCTCGTCGTCGTCGAGTGCGCCAAGTAGTGGGGATTGGGTCTTGTCCCCGGCACATGTGGGATGAGGTCCAGTCCAGTCCCAGGTGCAAAGTAGTGAGCAGAGGGGTCCTGTCGTCGGCACCACCGATAAGGATAGGGTCCTGTCCTGTCCCGCGAGGGAATCGAAGAGCATCCTATGCACAGGAGAAGAAATCAGCTTCAAACACTTTGGAAGCTGAAATCTACCGACATTGAAAATTAGTTCAGTATTTCAGTGCCCACCTCACCCCTCAGACTTACTGGAACAAAACCCCGAAACCTGGCACAGCACTTGCAATATCACTTCAATGCAATCACAACATATTCCCTCGCTGCCTGAAGCCTTCCTGAGTCGCGTTGCCTGGCCCCATCCCCAGCAACCCTCTGAAAACACATGTGCACATGCCGTCGCTCTGCTCGTCCCGATGCAAACACGTGCCAGAAATGGTCAACGTCAAGAGTCAAGGCATCGAGACTTCTGCAAATGATACCTGCCACCTGTGATGATGACTCAACCTGCGACGTTCAGTTGGCTCGTCAAGTTGTACATCCGCTAGCGCGGGCTTGGGCTTTTGCCCACTCTGATCTGGCCCCAAATTCGGGTAAGCCAGAACGACACACACTTTGGCTCGGCACGTGCTGATGCGAAGGAAGACAGACAGGACCGGACGAGACATCGACAGATTGCAGCAACCATGCGGTATCACTAGGAGTAGAGGCCAAGTGCGAAAACAACGGTGTCATTTGGGGTAATTTGGGCTGGCCTTTGTGCAGGTACACAAGGGTGATCAGCCCTTGCGTCCCATCAGAATCCATAGCTTTGGTGGGCACGATCCGAAATCTGATGCCGTGCCCCCCTGCACTTCATCGGTCGCCATGTCCAGGCATTTACACGCACCCCCCCCCCCCCCCCCCCCCCCTCCCGCCCACACTTGCTGACCGGTCATCCTTTCGATGGATGCCGTTTGCTACACTTGCTCCTTTCTCATCTAGTAGCAACCTCTGTCTCAAGGGTCACAACTACATATCGCAGGTACGTTTTCACACCTACCATCGGAGGTCTTCGGTGGCCACAGCTCCGATGGTAAGCCTGTGGCCCCCTGCTGTAAACAGATCTACTTCCTTCGGTACAGGATTTGCACACACACACACACACACGCAACCGGTAAAACCGGTAACATCAGCCAACACCACAACCCCTACACGCACAAAAGAGACGACGACGAACGAACGGCAGCAACACAGCAACAGGACGACGACGACGACTGACCGAAAAACAACCAACACCACAACCCCTACACGCACAACAGAGACGACGACGAACGACCGGCAGCAACCCAGCAACACGACGACGACGACGACTGGCCGAAAAACAGCTGCAACACAACATCTACTCTACTCCTGAGCTCCTGAACCTGGGTTCTTTTAAGGAGCAGTCCAGCCGAGGAAAGGTAACTCCAGTGTGAAACAAGGGCAATCAGGGCCTGTTTCGTGTGGGGCCGTTGGATCTCGAGGCTCATATTCCAAAGTAAGACAGGGTGTTCCAAGGAGGCGCCCCCGCAGACCGGGAGTCCGGCAGCGCTTTGGCAGAATTACTGTCGGGAAGCACACTTGCTGACCGGTCATCCTTTCGATGGATGCCGTTTGCTACACTTGCTCCTTTCTCATCTAGTAGCAACCTCTGTCTCAAGGGTCACAACTACATATCGCAGGTACGTTTTCACACCTACCATCGGAGGTCTTCGGTGGCCACAGCTCCGATGGTAAGCCTGTGGCCCCCTGCTGTAAACAGATCTACTTCCTTCGGTACAGGATTTGCACACACACACACACACACGCAACCGGTAAAACCGGTAACATCAGCCCTACACGCACAAAAGAGACGACGACGAACGAACGGCAGCAACACAGCAACAGGACGACGACGACGACTGACCGAAAAACAACCAACACCACAACCCCTACACGCACAACAGAGACGACGACGAACGACCGGCAGCAACCCAGCAACACGACGACGACGACGACTGGCCGAAAAACAGCTGCAACACAACATCTACTCTACTCCTGAGCTCCTGAACCTGGGTTCTTTTAAGGAGCAGTCCAGCCGAGGAAAGGTAACTCCAGTGTGAAACAAGGGCAATCAGGGCCTGTTTCGTGTGGGGCCGTCTGATCTCGAGGCTCATATTCCAAAGTAAGACAGGGTGTTCCAAGGAGGCGCCCCCGCAGACCGGGAGTCCGGCAGCGCTTTGGCAGAATTACTGTCGGGAAGCACACTTGCTGACCGGTCATCCTTTCGATGGATGCCGTTTGCTACACTTGCTCCTTTCTCATCTAGTAGCAACCTCTGTCTCAAGGGTCACAACTACATATCGCAGGTACGTTTTCACACCTACCATCGGAGGTCTTCGTTGGCCACAGCTTCGATGGTAAGCCTGTGGCCCCCTGCTGTAAACAGATCTACTTCCTTCGGTACAGGATTTGCACACACACACACACTCTTTTTTACACTTTTACAGTTACACTTACATCCGCTTATGTGTATGAACTACTATCGTGGACTCTTCAGACCCGGAATCCACCCCAAAAGCAAAACTGAGCCTCAGGCGGAGGCCTTCGTCTATGACCATGATCCCCAGGACTCGAGTTGCAAATATGAAGGCTTAGGTTTAGGAGCGCAAACTTGGAAAAACTGTAGCGAGCGCGAAATTGCTCGAATGAAGACCATCACCCTGGAGTCGCACTCCATTGGGAAGCCATGCAACAATCCAAGAAACTCATGTGAAATCAATCGCTTGTATTCACAGCAGTGGCAACAGCTCCAGAATTGTCAGGAAGTGATGGCATGCACATGCAATCAGGGGTAGAGCCTCATGGCGTTGTATGTTCATGTAAACCTTTTGTGCACGTCCCTCACGCTCAATCCTAAGTGCATCAGCATGTGTGGGAGCATGGTTATAGTTATTATTTGCCCTTGCTAAGAACGGTGAGCTGGACTTCCGCTCTGCGCAAAGGCAGCTCACTAAGCTTCTTACCCGTTTACTAACTACTGTAGACTGAGTACTTCGCACGCACACAACTTACAACAAGTATGAGACTTAAGAGGGTGGAACTGGAACACCTTTCCAACAACAAAGGCTTCCCACTCAAGACTTCACATCCTTCTAGATTCTAGCTTCCTGACGATCTGCCTTCTTGCTTCGTGTTGTCCCTTCCTTCTTGTTTCCTCCCAGGTATGCGGCTTTGCTCATAGAAAAACTGATGTTGTACGGTTACATATACGTTCATAGGCAACAGGTTATCCACAACAAAACTGTGCAACTGCCGAGAGCAAACCGCGACGCAAGGCCATGACTGGACAAAGACACTAAACATGTGCCACTGTGCAAGTTTCGGTTCCGTGATCCTAAAAGCTATTTATTACACAACCATTACACAGCATTATCCGCCAAATGCCAATCTCAGCAAGGCCGAAATGCACGCCACGCATTCTGCTTTGTCCGAGCGAGGAGATGGAGGTCTTGGTCTTCACAGCACAGACAAGCGAACAACATCGTGTTTCTCACAGCTCGGCCGGGTCTCACAGGAGCGTCACTGGGTGAATCGAACGATGTGCTGTTCTGCTGATTCCTGCTCTATTCTTGCTGCGAATGCCATTCGTTGGCAGCAGGACGGTTTGGCGATCAGTCCGAGTGGTGCCGTCTGATAGGGATGAAGCCGGCTTGCCAATTCACTTGTTGCTTCAGGTGCGTCGGAAATTCTGGGCTGGGAACCGGTGATTTTCCACCTTGCCTGTGAAGAGTCAAAGCAGGCAAAAACGACCGCAGCCAGCGCAGGGCCTCAGACGCTCATGTGTGAGACCAAGTCGGATCTGGAATCTGTTTTCCGCCTTCCTCGTCTCACACGCTTGTTCCCGTGCTCAGAAGGCTGAGTTCGAGTTGGATGCCGTGTGGAAGACGGAGCTGGTCCATCAAGATGCAGCTGCAACTCAATCCCATCAACATCGTTGTAGTACTTGGGATGGACATCAGTCTGCTGAAACCCGAATCGCTGATACAACGCCTGTGCTGCGGAATTGTCAGATCTGACAATCAATCTCATGCAAATAGCTCGCGGGAACTTCTGCCAACTTAGCTCACGGACATGGCGAAGCAGCCGAGTTGCAATGCCAATTCTGCGAAACTCTGTAGCAACAGCGAGGTTCATGACATGGATACATTTTTCACACGCAGCGAAAGGCTCATAACTCCAGGCAACATATCCAGTGATCATGTCATTGGTGGGCGTGCTCAAGACAGCCATGTCCACAAATGTTGGAACGAACCAAGGGCCACCAGACCTTCTTCTGGAATCTGCAATGCGTTCCGCCACTACACATTCCTGGTCAGTAAATGCTTCCGACTCAATAGCCTGTACTCTGGCGATGTCTGCCTCTGACACAGGCCGTATGACTACTACTTCAGTTTGGCTGGACAACATTCCGGAAATCGGGGCGATGCAGAGCTTGTCATCCATTGCTGCCATTGCTACTCTGGCTGCTCTGCTGATTGCTGAGCGGAGTGCTGGATGCGCCTAGTCTTTCTCGGTGGGGCGCTGTGCGCCGTAGGCTGCATGCGATGCTGGTGATATCATGCTGCCATGAGGCAGAGTTCGCAGAGGCAGAGCTATGATGGAGGCAATGTGACAGGCGGCTGCATGGTTCTCTTGAAGTGCTCAAACTTGCAAACTTCCGGCTTTGCAACATCAGCTCTGCACAGTAGCTCTGTGTCACAACAAACAATCCGTTTGCCTGAAGATCAAGCAAAGCTTCGAAACTTTGGCCCTGCGACTCTTGTGGACTTCCCGTGCCCTTTTCTAACTTAATTGCCCATGGTTGGCTGGCGCATTCGGTGTGGCAGGACTGGTAAGCGACCTGTTTTGCGTCACCGTCACCAGCAATCCCCAGATCGTTCGCCCCTGGCAGAGCGAGAGACACCGCCAGTTCCGTGGCGACCAACAAGTGGTGTTGCTCTCTGGGTGCAGTTGTCGCAACTTTTGGGACATGGCGCGGTACTGCAAGTACAGATAGTCTGAAACTGTCGCAACATGCACAGCAACTTCTCGAATCCCATCAGATCCGCTCCAGCAGGACGGGGTCGACACCAGTTACTCGGCATTCGGTAGATGGCCTCATTGATTCTTGCAAGCCCACAGAGGCCCATAGTCAGTGTTGCGGTTGCACTGCCTTTCTACGGACAGAGCACTCGTTGCACGCCGGGGGACGTATTTGAGATCCGGTTCAGCAAAGCGGCTTTGCCGGGGATCACTCCAAGACAAACGACAAGGCAATGGAGGCCTCCTCAGCCTGCGAGGATTCAATTCGACTTTGATTTGGCAGAGCGACTTGGCTGCCACACCATGAAGCCTCCACAGATGAGAACACGACAGCCGGAAAGGCGGCCTAAAGCATATGCTCACAGCTTTTGTCAATGACTTGACACGAATGCAGGCATGTCGCCACAGAACCCTCGCGCATATCAAGCGCCACCTTTGTCATTTGCAGGAATATCAACAATTAGCGAAGCATCGGCACGCGGCATCACGTAGCACCTTCTGACCGAATAGCCGGCGAGCCACAGGATCGGAAGCCTTATGCTTATGATCTTTTTGGTGCCAGCTGCAGTCGGCAACCATCTCAGACCATCTGAACGAGTGCTGGGCACCAAGCTGCCACAGCTTCCACCGGCAACCTGGACGTGACGTCTGGTGACAGCTGACGCTGAGACGGAGATGCTGAATACCTCACAGAAAAATCCTAACAAGACGACACGGTGATTCGGTGACCAGGGTGCCTGGGACTGGTGACTGGTGCCGACGATGTCATGACTGGCTTTGTATGACCAGCTTGACTCTGCTCAGGACTATGACCTGCCAGTGAGTTCAAGTCCCGTCCCCGTGCTGGATGGCCTCGGATCGAACAGCCACAAGACGAGGCGACCTTGCAGCACCTGCTTAGCACTCCGGCTTCCCAAACAGTGCCGGCTCGCGCTTTAAGCAAGGCACGTGAATCCCAGTTACTGCCGTTGTGGGAGACAGGACCAACCGACGAGTTCGAGCAGCCTGCCTTGCGATCCACAACGCGCGTCATGCATGGCTCTGCTGCATGGCATAAGCATGCATCTGCGAATTTGACTCTGCTGAAGCTCTGAGGAAACTAAGTAAAGAGCACAAAGCCTGATGGAAGAGTCAGAAGGGAGACAGAGCCGTGAGCGTCAGCAAGCTGAGGCCTGCCAAGGAGGAAACAAGAAGAGAGACCGACGGAAAGCTATGAAGCTCCAAGAAAGACTCCGTTCCGGGAGCACTGCCAGCAAGCAACGCATGCAAACTTCGCCTGCTCGTCGGTGCTGCTGCACGCCTAGCACAAATCCATCGAGCTGCGAGTCTGGAAGATCTCATCCAGGATGCCTCCACGAAGAGCTTCAAACATGCGACTAGAGACTAGCAAGCAACAGGACGTGGCATGATTGACTTGCTTGCCACTTCGGCTGGTGGTCGTTCACGACGTGGTCCTGAAACATCAATGCTAAGAAGTTCATCTAACTCGAGTGTTGCGACGTTGTAGTTACTTCGCTCAAATGAGGCCTTCGGTGTGAGCCTGTCTGGCAGGCAAATTGGAGCAACTTTGCTCCTGTTCAAGTCTTCGTTGCTGTGAAGCCTAACGTGAAACTTCAATGGCTGGCCTCGACGTGCTGCGAGAGATTGTTTGGGAAAAGATGTACCTGCCACTGACTTTCGTGAATGCCAATAGGCGGCGCTGCAAACGCACCGAATCCCGGATTCGGCGTCGGCACACCATTCGTATGAAATCCAAACCCGCAATCCTCGGAGGCCTTGGGAAGGCTTCAATGCAGGACTCTGAGAATGTACATGTGTGGGTACCGTGCGTGTGACTGCGTGTGTAGGCATGTACAAACCTCCTACATGTTGAGGCGACAGCAAGTCTCCCTCGCTGCTCCGAAACTGTAGATCGCTCTTCTCGCCGACAATGCGCGCTTGGAGGTTGAAGGAAAGACTGGCAGAAGTTGGAAAAGAAGGTGATTGCAACAGCTGCTCTAGGGACAGGAGACGGGCTGACGGGCTGCTTGTTTGCGGCCCCTTAAGACACCGTTGCGCCTGATCCGGGGCTCTGTGCCCACATGCGGTGGCACATGGTGCTGCAACCTGCTCAGCAAGACATTTTGTGAAGTGCCGCTGGAACGAAGCGTGATGATGTCATCACTATCAAACAATATGCTCGGCTGCGATATTTCAGGCACGCTTTCTGTTCATGGTGTTTACATATCGGAGGATTCCGAAGTGCAGCGCGTGGCGGTGCACAACAGTAGCAGCCTTTTTTTCAGTATGCAGACAACCTGAAAACTTGTAGCGGCAGCCGGGGGGGACCTGCAAGTGGGGAGCGCGGCAGCTCTTGGCTTTTCTTGGACTTTGTTGGATAGCTTTAACGGTTAGCTTTCATTTGGTGCACACATGAAAAGTGGCATCGCAACGGGCAGCAGTCTGTCGCTCAAAAGGCCGAAGAGACTACACGCCCTACGCCACATCTCGCCACATCGTCGAAAAATGTTCCCAATTGGTACAGTTTCATCGGCGGGTTGGCTGGCACTCAAACACGAACACAGCAGTTGAGTTCACATGCAACAGCCATGTCGTTTTTCAGTGGGCAAGAAGAGCAGATGATCCAGCAGCAGGCTTAAAATACTGCATCCTGCCGGAGACAGGCTACAGTATATTTCTGCAGCTGGCAAGAGAGATCAGAGACCACTTCTGGTACGCTTCAGGCCCACCCTCGCTCACATACATGCGATTGGATTCTACCTCAAAATGGGATCGGGATGCATCGGCCGCTGGGGTACTACACGGCCTTCACAGAGGAGAATTCTTGCAGAGAGTCGAGGAAGCTTGGGCTGATGATGCTCATTGGAATGCTCTTGCACAGGGCCGCCTGGCCCCATTTGGGACAACATCAACCGGGTGGTCTTGGAAGTGGGATCAAGTTTGTATGGTCAAGGTAAGCAGCGGTCTTGTCAATCTCGTGACACACTACAAGCCGCGAAGGAGTTGTGCATGGCTCGCGCAGCTCTTTCTTCTTGTTCTGTGAGGCGGTTTACCTTACACGGGTTCATGCACGACGACCTGCAGCACATATTCTGCACATGGTATTGTCTTGCACATAAACAACGTTCTCACAAACACCTGGATGCACTCGCGAAGCGTGATCGCCAAGTGCGCACATCACAGCTTGTGGAGGAGTTCGATTCAGCATGGCATGCACGTGATCTTGCGCATATGTGGGCCGTGTCACGCAAGCTGTCAGGCAAGACGCTGGGGCTGAAAAAGCCTAACTACAGATTATCACAACTTGAGCGACCTACAGCAAAGGAATAGCTTGAATTTCTCTCGCAAGACGGGCCGTCAGGTGGTTGCTTTGCCAAAGCAACCAGGTGGGAAGTGTTTGAGGCTCAGTCACGTCAAACAGACCCCATGGCACCAACACTTGCTGTACATCGTATGGCTGCCGATGATTTTGTTGGACTCCGGAATGCAGTTCACCAACTACGATTGCGTAAATCTTGTTCCTGATTGGTCAGCACCAACGGAACTATGGCGGCAACTCTTGCACCCGACCTACTACCGGACACGGCTGCGAAGAGGCGTGCGGTATGCATCCAAGCACAACATTCACTCCTTCAAGGTTCGGGTTATGCAGTTGCTCCGAGCCGTCCGTCGACTTGAACAGTCCAAAGTGGTTTGGACCCGCAGTGAAACTACCCAGATCCCGAAGCAGGCAGCATAAAAAAAAACAGGGATGCGTTTCTTTGCGCCTCATCAGTTGGATCCGTTGGTGAGGGCTTTCTACAAAAGTTATTTTTGGAAGCAATGTACAGCGCAATCCAGCCGTCCATGTGCAGCTGGGCATGCCAAACAAAAAAGCCGCCTGGAGCCCATGTTCCAACAGCGCACCGTCGGATTCAGATTGCGACGAGCCCGCATTTCGCACATCACTTCTTTCTATGATTTGCGCCAACGCCGTTTACAGCGTGGACTGGCATGCACTGGATCAGTCTCCGTGAAATCTCCACTCCCAACAACTGCAACCTTCTTTGGCAGCGTCAGCGACAATCTGTTTTGTCAGTGGCCGCATGCGATAAAGATGTTGATGTCGGAATCGGTTCGGGCACACTGCAAGGCGATGGGCCAGCGGCGCAAATTTTTCTGGAACCGCACCACAAAGCCCTTGATGTTTCGCAAGGGTCCTTGCGAACACTGGGCGACGAGGGCGCGTCCTCGTGGAAGATCCGGTGCAATGAGATCGTGGATGTATACTTGTCTTCCTATGCCGATGACATTGCTACAAAGCTGTGTGGTAATAGTGCCCATGAGTTGGCAGGAAAATCCCGTCTCCTTAACAATCACATTGACAGCCACTTCGCCAACATCGGCATGGCACAGAACCGAAGGAAGCAAGAACATGTCCCATTTTTTGCACGCGCAGGTACTCGAGCAAATTTTGCAGCAACCTTGGATCAGTGCTTGTTGCGAGGGAACGCACACCGCAGTGCTCGATACCTTGGCCCTCCATATGATTTCAACGGCTCGACGAAATCGGAAATACAACAGCGTCTATCTGCAGCAAAGCTGGGTTGGATATGTTTCGGCCGATAATTTTGGTCTCGAGGATCCACAACAGCAGTTGATCGCTTATGTGCGTTCAAAGGCATGGTCTACACTCCAAGTTTATCAGGCTGGAAGGATGTGTATTGGACAAGTCGGATTATTCAGCTTGGACAAATGTGTTCAAAAGTTTGGTCGGAAGCTTATGCGCGGTCTCGCATGCCAGAAAGTTCGGGGTTCTGATGGTGGTATCAAAAATGAAGCTAAGCCGGCTGATGCTGTGTGGAAGTTTCTCGGAATCCTTCCCAGTCGAGACGAGCTGTATGTTCGGCGAATCCGATGGTATCGAGCCTTGGCTCATGAACCACGTTTGCACAAGTATTGGTTCGCGTGCATGTTCGGGCATTTCCTGTTAGACTTCTGAGATTGTTGATTGTGAAGGCCGGGTCTCACCAACAGCCCACCCATGGGCTCAGCAGTTTGTGCATGACATGCGTCGGTTGGGTGAGTTTGAAGACGGCTAGGCATTCCTTTTAACGGGTGGGAGATGGTCACATGCGTGTCTTCACCGATCTGTGCGAAGATTTTCTGCGACTTACGTGCAAACCATTCCGAGTCCAAATCCCTCCTCCCGAGTATCAGCCTCAAAGCGGGGACGAGCCGACCGAACCCGAACTCCGCCATGATGCGGCGAACGACGATGCACCAATTTTTTGCTTGTCGTTGCACACAAGAGGATGGAACACCATGCCCGATGGTCTTTCGGAGTTTGCAGCAGCCAGTGCATCAGATTTCTACCAAAGGTGGTGACCATGGACATGTAAGAAACAGTACTCAGCTGGCAGTCACTAATCGGTGTCCGTTCTGCAGTCTTCGTACCACGCAGTCGCATATCCAGAGACGGCTGGACACAGGCCGATGCACCGGCAGAGGTAGTAAGACTGTCTTCAAACCAGCTGTGTCAACATATTTTGCATGCCCTTTTTGTGACATGGAAGCAAACTCTCTGGACATGTTATTGGGTCACACCGTGCAACATGTGGAGCACCAGGTTGTTCAAGCGCCTTAGGCCTTCTTTCCAAGTTTTTGCTGTGTAGCTGCAGCATGGAAAGTTGGGAGCTCGGAAGTGGCGCTGCAACGCAGCGTGCCAAGAGGTTCGCAGTCGGCCCGGACAAACGACTCACGAGTGCAGTGCATGCCATGGCCAAGCTCAGCCTGAAGAATGCACTGGAAGTCCGTGAGCTGCAAGCCGCGATGTTGAAAACCTTCCTCTTCCCAAAGTCCAGTCCCTACGTGCAGTCAGCGCTGATGGCTGATAGCCACCAAAGAGTTTGCAGACCGAGCGAAGCAAGCCCGTGATGGCAAAGGTCAGCTTATTCCGGGGGAACCGCATGTGCATGCACGGGCAGCCTTGCTACGCACAGCAATCGAGGAGCATTGTCTGCAGACGACAAGGAAGCAATCCAAGCACATCGCAACGGCTCCCCCATGCTGATTCTTTGCTTCAGCGAGTGATGATCTGCAAGGTGAAGAAGGCATTCGACAGAGACTTTGTCAAGCTTCAGTTCGCAGTCCACAGTGTTGAACCCACGCTCGCAGCTTGGTCCAAGGGCGTTGTCCTGCATAGCGGTGGGCAGAAGATGGGACTGGCTCAAGAGCGGGCCTCGAACGTGAAGTGCAAGACATCGTTGACGAGCTTTCTGCCGCTGTGAGCAGCATGTAGTTTCACTCGTTCTTAAGCAAGGGTGTGCACCTGTGAAGGTTCACGTGGTATCCTTCGTGTTGTAGCTTCACACTGATGCGGGGATTGCTACGGGTGACCGTCCCTACGGTGCGCCTTGTCGCAGTGGGGCTGCGACTAGCGACTTTGTTCCTATGCAGTGCAGAAGTGCTGCTTGCTCAGTGTGGATGCAACTCATCTGACAACTACTGAAGAAGAAGCACAGCAGTAGCATTAGCGTTCTCAAGCCGTTTCTGGCACTCGCACTCGGCCAAGACATGCACATGCACACGCATGCAAATACCAATGAGGGAGTAATCACCTAATTGGGTGTCGCTTTGCTTGTAGCCTGTGCTTGTAGGTCTTTAGAGCAACAGAATATCAACAGAATCCTTGAAGCCCACACCCTTCAGGCTTTCGGCACGGGGCGTAAGGCGTAATGTCACTCTAGCTCAAGCGCATTTTATTCGGAATGCAAACCCTGACAGCACAAGTTTCTAGCCGAGATGCCTTTTGCCTTCTTTCGTTTCATTAGTTCATATACCCTTCACAACTAATGGTAAAGATAGTGAACGGAACCATACCCTAGTTTCGTAATCTCTAAATATTGCTCCACTGGCCCACGTCATTCTGCTCCATGCTTTCAGCGGATCCTTGCACCACCGTCCTACTGTCAGCTTCTGCATATTGGGTTAGCTGTTGCTTGGCTCTGATCATGGCTTGTGTGGACCTTCGCCAAAGAACCCAAAAACAAAAGCACAATCGCTAGGCCGCTCGCCAGGAAGGAAAAACCAGAAGTTCTCCGGCACGCAGTCCCTGCATGAGCTTATCTGATGTCGAGGGCAAGCTACAAACAGCTTGGCAGAGCGTCTCCTGGAGACCGACAAGGCCAGTAGAAGCTTCCAAAGTCTTGCCTGACCACATCGAGTTGAAACAAAATTGAAGTGAATGAAGCAAACTTCAAAGGCACGTGGTCTCAGACAGTCGATGTGAGCACTGCTGCTGTTGCTCCAAGCAAAGTGGTATGTTTTGTTTAAGATTGGTAAAACGTAACACTACAGGGTTCTTACTTTTACAAAGGGGGGTCACCGTCGCCGTGGCTCCGGCTGTTATGCCATCTCCCATTATTCACAATTCCTGATTCCAATACAATATATTGATCTCATTGCTGCCATCGAAACTCTCGAAATGCTCAAGAGCATCTCAAGAGCCCTGGGCACTGACTATTCAATGTCTCATGCTCATTGATTACCATTTTGCCGGCGCTTCTCACGAAATGCTCGAAGTCCCTCAAACCCTAACAGGACCACACATTTTGGTGGTCTGGTGGTCATTGGTGGTCCTCGTGGTCCTGGTCGCTTTGGTCATCGTAGTCCTGGTGGTGGTCGTGGTCGTCCTGATGGTCCTGGTATCATCGGTGTGCACACGGTGCGTTGTTTTTCGCTGTTTGGGGGTCTACGTTGGCATACTACAGGCATGTGATGTACGTATTTCGGAATACGACGAAATTGCGTGAGTGCTTGGGCACAACGACCCGTCACAGCAAAGAGCGGAAATGGCTCAGCAATTACCAGCCAAATTTCACTTGGCACCATTTACACCCGAGATCGGAAAAAACGTGCAGCCAACCACACATCCAAATTCAGCTCAGATGGCGACAATCGTTTGTGCCAGAAACGCCATCCAGCGGACCCTACCAAGGCCGTGGGCAAATTGAACTTTCTGAAGCAAACTGCCGTGATATCAAGCTGCGATTCAGCTCCCTTCCCAACTTCTATCAACTTCTGGACCTCCTCTCCTGCAGCTGCACTCCGCGGATCTGTGAAACACAAAGTTGCACCTGTCAAGCCCGTTTAAATGTGCCCCGAAGCTGCGTGCAAAGTCTGGGCCTGCCTTGATCAGTTCCGGCCTGTAGATACAGGACGCCGGAAAGCAACCCAGGATGGATGTGAGCCTTTGTGGCCACAATCCACCTGAATCCTTCCGCAGCACATGATGCTGGATGCCATGATGCCGGCAACGTTGCTGTTCCCCCTCGCGTTAACCTCAGGACGGAGTCAGGGTACGACTTGCTGCATTGTATGGCGAGATCACGCACATCAAGGCGCACGTTTGCCCAAAGGCCAAGAAGATCCAGCTGCAAGTCCTTGACAGATGTGCAACGGCGGGGAAAGAAACGACGCCAACATGACACGCACGGACGCACGCAGGGTGCGATGCCAAACATAAGTTCAATTGCACCGCATGCCAGCGAATGCCAACGGTGTATGTCGAGTCCCGAGGCCACGTCATAATCCACGAGCGACTCTCTGCACTAAACGAAAGTTATCAGTTCTCGCTTCCCCCTCATGTCCACAACTTCGTCGCACATGAGTGCCGCACGCCCCTGCGCATGCGAAAACACACACACACACACATGCACGCACACGCCACACACACATGAAAACTCTCTGACAGAGTAATCACACCCTCACACTGTGTTAACAGCTCCTGTAACCCTCGACCTGCCAAGTTTCTTAGCTTGGCCTTGTTGGCAAGTATGTCAAACTTTGTACTTCGAAGAAATACGATCTACCGTTGCAACCGGGAACATCCAGACTCCGAGCCTTTGGCTTGAAGTGATTGGCAACAAAAACTTTGCCGGCAATTGATTGAGCTTCGGCAAGTGTCAGAAAATTCCGGAGTTCATAGACTTTGGAAGATTGCCTCTTGAAAGAGAGAAACAAGCTCTAGACCCACAGCATGAACTTCCGAATCTGGTATTGAGACCCAAGGTATGGCATAGCTCAGAACCGCACGTTTCCGGCCGTGAATCTCTCGCATACCCGTGCGCTTAAAAACCAGCCAGGAATTCGGAAAAGGATTTTGCCGATAGTGCAGCACGAAAAGAACATATATAAGCAAGCAACGGAGTGAGAGGCTGCTGAGATTCAAAATTCAAAAGTTTCAGTGCTCTAAGCCCACTTTGCTGCAGCAGCTCTTCTATGGTTGCATTAAAAGCATCAACGGCTGCTCCGAACCAGACTTGCTTTTATCAGCCGATGATTGGCCGAAGTGAGCATTTCGGGGCTCTTCATCCAAGAGCTCATCCGCTGTCATCTCCTGCTCTGGATCGAAAAAAGCAGAAGGAGGTTTGGCCTTTGACCCCTCGTTGGGTTCAACAGGCTTCTTCAGGTTTGGGAGGCTCGGTTTTTCAGCTTTCCGGTCCCCAAAGCATGCCGAGGATGGCGCGAGGGGTGCGGTGCGGGAATCCCAGTTTTGGGTTCCGCACTTTTTGACACCGCTTGTTTCGGTGCAGCCTCCTTTTCGGGATCGGCCGTTCCCGATATTTGTTGTTGAAAAACAGGGTCAAGTGTAGTGCTTTGTCCAACTTGAGCTTGGCGTGAAAAAAAACACGGAGGTAGGATAGGAGGCCCAGCTGGCTGAGGGTTCGCTTCTCCGCTTGCAAACCAAGTACCGGGAGGGACTTCAGATCCCGGTGGTGAGTGATCGGGAGCTTCGCACTTCCCTCAACCTGGCTTTCGGAGTTGGCACCGATTGGGGGCTTTCCGGAGTAAAACCTTTGACGGAGTCGCCGAACGAGGGGGGTGATGTTGAAGGTGGGGTTGTTGGCTTCGCCCTCGGATGCTCCACTCGAACTTCCTGTTCAGGAACTGTTGGTTCTTGAATATCATGTTTAAGGCGTCGATGACGGCTGCGACAACGATGATGAAGTCGTCTATGGCGACGATGTCGGTGGAGGGAATCACCCTCGGAACGACCACCAGTGGCTCGATGCTCACGAGCACGTAGTCCCTGCACCGTGAATTGGGTAGAAGGATGCATTCCCGGAGAGGCACCAGCATAAAAATGAAAGATGTGCGACATGGGCATCGGTTCAACACTATCTGGAACCAAGATGCGGCAGACAGAACCAGGTGAAACGTAAATGGACTGGTGCTCAGAAAAAGAAGCATGGTATGTAAGATGTTTTGTCATCGTTGCTGCCTTTGTCGGAGAAAAATACTGGCAGCTTTTTGAAGCATCGATTCACCGTACCTGTAAAAGGAGTGCGATCGAACCCGAGTCTGTACATCAGCTTCGGATTGTTCAAATGGAAAACTAACAAATGCGAAGAGCCAACCGTATCCGAGCAACACGCGGCAGAAAGCTTGTGAGCTTCGGTGCCGGCAGTGCAGAGTGCAGAGTGGCCGAAATTGATGTCTCGCCTTAGGCTGACGGTACTCCAAAAGTGCGAGTGACGGGATTCAAAGTCGTTCCCAGAAGGAACCCATCCAGAACATCTTCCACACTACTGGGTGTTTACTGAATGGAGCGAGGAATTCTTGAACAAAACCATCGACTGGATGCTTCGCCAGGGCATGACACCAGACGATTGTCAAAGTAGCGAACACTGTAGACTTCGTGCTGAAGTAGTTGAAGGTCATCTTGATGCCTTTTAAGCCTCTCGGCTCAGGAAAGGTCAGGCTAGTACAGTTGCCTTTTTCCTTTCTTGCCATGGCATTTGTCAGCGCCTGAGCAGTCCCGGTCCCAAGTCCGGGAGGGAGTATTAGATTTACAGCTCTCTAACATCTCCCAGAGGTGAGGGTTGTCGGTATTGCGAAGCCGACAGGAGCCGTACTCAACATGAGTGCTGCGAAACAGCCTAGTGGTTCGACCAAGCATCAGCCCGTTCCTAAAGGGAAGGGTAAACGCTCTTATCAAAGGGCAGCACGTAAAGCTCTGCTTGAAGGTAGTGCGGTCTACAAGGGAAGGACGATGTCGTCAACAGAGCTCGGAGTTGCTCCGGCACATGTAAAGCCCACCAATCCCGGCAGAAGGACTCGGCCTTCAAAATTTACGGAAGATAAGAATCTCAGCTATCTATCCTGGAACGCAGGATCTCTCACAACAGCAGTTTGGGAAGAGTTACTCTCCGTACTGCAAAGTGCAGCATTTCAGGATGTGAAGCTGGTAGCAATTCAGGAAACACACTGGAGGGGCTCATGGCAATTCAGCAAGTCAGGCTGGCACGTGATCAGCTCTGGTTCCACAGGGGAGAAGGGAGCCGGGGTCCTTATAATGGTGCACTCCACGCTGTGCAAGTCACAGGATCTTCGCTACAACGAGGTTGTTCCAGGAAGAGTTCTCCAGGTCCGGGTGCCGAGCAACGGCATCTCACTGGACGTCTTCAGCTGCTATCAATACGTTTGGCGCTCTAAGGAGACTGTCGCTCATAATAAGGAAACCCGGAAGCAGACCCTTCATGCCCTAAGTAAGTCCATCCGAGCTGTTCCCAATCGCAACACTCTCCTTGTGCTAGGAGATTTTAACTCCTCGCTCAAGACAGACAACAAACACGTAGGGCCATGCACGATCCAGGCTTGCAGACTAGGGCATCGCGGATCTAAGGATCTCCAGACCCTACTGTCGGAGCACCAGCTAGTCGCAACCAACACTTGGGAAGTGCATAGACCAGCCACCCACGAACAAGGCAACTCAGTTTCACAGATTGACTTCTCGTTTGTCAGGATTGCACAGTCCCAAGGCCCTGCCAAGTTTTGCCGGCCACTAAGGACCTTTCCAGTGGCATCCTGGAGGGATGGCAGTAGGCATTTCCCCCTTCTCGGTAAACTGAGGCACAGCAGGAGATACTCCGCCCAAGCCTCAAAACCCTATGACCAGCATGCAATGGAGGACTGCTACAGACACCGTTCCCCGAAAATACAGGCATTTGCCAGGGAGGTAGACTCCCTACTTCAGGATCATCCCCAAACCTGGCACGGTCTCCATCAAGCAATGAACTCAGCCCTCACGACTCACTTTCCCAAGAGAAAGGGAGCAGCACAAAGAACAGGTCTCAGCATTTGGGCAGAGCGCACAGTGTTGCGCTCACTCCCAATGTCAGTCAAGGTCTTAGCAGAGTTCTTGCCGGAGTTGCAGGTCCGAATGGTATTTCGCTGTTGGCTGTCGATGTCTCAGCAAAGTGCACAGGCGAAGGTAGCAAAGCGTCAGAAGCAGGAAAGGCGGAGACAGGAAATAGATGAACAACTCGAGCAGGCAGAGCTTAAATCCAAGCAAGACGGGAGTCATTCCCTCTACAAGGTGATCAAGCGCTTCCGGTCGGGGAGGCCTCAGGAAAGAGTTCAGCTACGTGACTCAGAGGGTCGCTTCCTAACAGCCAAGGAAGAACGTAGACAATTAGAGGAATACTCCATTGAACTGTTTGGAGCAGGGGACGACTTCCCGCTCACAGGGATACAAGGCAGCCTGCACATCACCGAGCAAGAAGTTCAAGAACAGCTAGGCACTATAAAGCTTGGCAAAGCAGTTCCTAAAGAAAGTCCTCCCATAGTAGCTTGGCGCTCCCTAGGCCCCAACGCTATTCGGCTTATTTCGGACACTCTCAATAGGGAGGTCACTGCAGGAAGGCTTTCGGACAGCGTCACCTCGTCACAGATCTCATGGCTTCCAAAGCCCCCCAAGAAGCCAGATAAGCCAACATCACTCCGTCCGATCGGGGTGATAGCACCTGAGGGCAAGGTCCTGGCAGGACTTGTGAGGCAGAGACTCAAGTCCACCCTCCATCAAGCAATGCAAGGAGTCTCTCAGTTTGGCTTCGTACCAGGTAGGGGCACAGAGGAGGCGATCTGTAAGGCACTCACACATGTGGATCAGGCCAGGTTCAGGCAGGCCCTTACAACTAGAGCAGCTGGTAAGGGACAACAGGGGCTTAAGCTCAGGGGCAGTCTCACGATGAGCGTTGACATGAGCAAAGCTTTTGACACTGTGGACAGGCTACGATTACGAGAAGCCCTGGAAGCTGAACAAGCAGACCCTCTTCTTATAGAGGTGGTGGGCCATCTACACATCAAAGCCTTGTACAAGATGACAGCCAGCGATCAGAGCTTTGAGATAGCCACACGCAGGGGAATCAAGCAGGGATGCAAGCTTGCACCTTCCCTATTCGCCTTTGCATCCGGGCTTCTCTTTAGGAAGCTCTCTGGAAAAATCAGCCCCCCCGAACTAGTTAAACTACTCACCATGTATGCGGATGACAGCTTGATTCAGTCGCACTTCGAGTCCGAGTCTGGCCTCATTACAGCACTAGGATACTGCGACCTTCTTCTGGATCAATTGGTTGAACTTGGGTTCAAGGTCAATCCG